GGGGGAGGGGAGCCCTCAGGGAGGGTCAGCTCGGTGGCCTCACTGCGCCAGCCCTGCCTGTGGCAGAGCCCTTCTTTCCCAGGACGTGCCCTTGGAAGGTAGCTCTGGCTGTAGTGCTCCCGGCGCTGGCCCTCCTCCTCCTGGGGGTCAGCTACGCTGGCTGGAGAGTACATCAGGCCAAAGAGAGGGAAGCAAAGAAGACGGAGAAGGAGTCTGGTGAAAGAAATCAGATGAAGAAGGACAAGGAAATGGCACTAAAAGCCAAGGGTAAGTTGGGCAGCAGGACAAACCAGAGGTTTGTAAGACAGCTGGGGGCAGGTTGTGCAGCACGGTCGGGCGATAAAAGGTTGCCAAAGGACCCCAAAGAAAACGCAGGGTACCAAGAATTCCACAGGAGCCCCAGGGAAGGAGAAAGCCACGCGGGGAGCCAGGAGGTTTGGGGGGCAGAGGCGTCATCAGTGTGGCTCAAACCACTCCAGGCACCTCGGTGCCCCAGCCTGTGCTGCTGTCTCAACTGCGGGAAGGTCTTCCACTGTCTTCTCTTCCTATTCGTCCTTCAAGAATAAGCTTCGGAAACACCCAGGGAACCTTAAACCCCCTCCAAGCACAGGGCCCTTCCTCTGTGGCCCCGTGAGGCGTCCCAAGTAACTTTTCTTAGCTCTAGTCATTTTAGATTTGACCTGTAAGTCTGCTAATTTTCTTGCCCACTTCACCATGGTGCCCTTAAGGGAAAGCCAAATTGAACTCATTCAGCTGCTTTCCAAACTCAGGAGCAGCTAAAACCCTCTCTGATGGAGTTTATATCTTCTCTTTCAGCGGATCTCGAAGCAGAGCTCGGTGAGTCTTGCTCTTTCTCACGCCCTGTGGAAAATTTGTTTCCTTTCCACATCCGCTCTGGGTCTCTCACTGAATGTTGTTTCTTCCAGAGAAGCGGAAGAAATTATACGCCGCAGGTAAGGGACCCTGGGTTTCCCATGCCACCTGATGTCCTGATACCTAACACTTCCTCACCTCCCTCTCCTCAGAGGGAAAGACGCAATGACTTAATAATAATAATTAGTGGAAGAAAAATAATGAGAAGGGAGAGAAGTGTGAGTTCCCAGATGAGTGTCTCACTGTGTTTTACCTGGATTTGTTCTGTTTAGATTGGAGGAAGGCCCTGCTATATCCTGGTAAGTAACTCCCTGGCCTCAGATCTTGCCAAGTGCTTCTGGTACTCTAAGCATAATAAGCAGAGATAGAAACACACACCGCACACCACACACGCACCACATCCACCTGCAGGTTGTGAAAATTTATTCAGTTTCCATCTGTAGTATTTTGTATTTGGAGGCTTAAGAAATCAGTTGTTCTCCATAGCTAAGGAGAAAGGAGAAATAACTGCTACCTTGGAAATTTTACAACAGGGATAGGGTTGACTCAACATGAATTGTGTTAGTTAGGTGACAGTTCCTAACCTGAGACAGGGCACAGAAAGAGTACCATGTGTCCTGTAGTTTCTGAACACTACAGTTTGGGGGTCTTAGAGGAGGAAGTGTGGAGAGTCGAGGAAAAAAAAAAAAAATGATCTGGGGAAGGAAGCATCTCGATTCCTTTCCATTCTCTGGCTCTGTTTCCATCTTGATCTCCATCTGTATTGCTCTTTTTCAGACTGGAGGAAGGAGCAGTTCCAGCTTGGTGAGCAGCTCTTGATCTATCTTTTTGGCTCCCTTCTAACTGGTCCCATTTTCCTTTCCTCACATCACTCCTCGTGGAGGATGGAGGCACCACTATTCTGGTGAGTGGAGGGAGGAGCATGGAGGTCAGTGAATGCTGCCCTGAACTGAAGATTGCTGTNGGAGGGAGGAGCATGGAGGTCAGTGAATGCTGCCGTGAACTGAAGATTGCTGCTGGATTAGCTGCTCTGGTTGTGCTTTTGTCTTTGTATGTTGGCCCAGCTTTCTCTTCTGTGGAGTCCACTTGGTTCTGAAAGAGAGATTAATGTAGCCCCTCCGTGTGGAGGCCCCCAACTAGTGAAAAGTGCTCGAAATGGCAAGAGTAACTCAGCTGGTCTTTTGAAAAAAATCAGCTCACGTGGAGCCTGTTACTAATTAAGGAATGTAGGTCTGATTTGCAGAAAACAGAAAGAGCGTTATTCTCAAGTGAATACTGGAGACTCTGGCTCACTCCGACATTCTGCCCAGACACTGATAGTAGCGTAGATGAGATAAGTAGTGTCGCGCTGTGGGGAGAGCACAGCTAACTCCCCAGCTCCACCGCCCCCAACACGCACTTTCAGAGGAGGGTCTTTCACCACGTGGTCCACATCTGTTGCTTTATGGTTCCCCTGTACAACTGGTGTCCGAGATGTACAATGTTGTCCTTTCCTCTTTTCCAGCTCCTGTGACTCTAAATCATAAAAGTTTTCCCCAGAACAGTTCTGACCCAGAGAGAAAAGAGACATTGAGAGAGGAAACACAGGGTCTCTCTCTTAGCAACAAGCAGGGGGATTGCAACCTCATCGCACTCGATAAGGAAGGCTTCACTTCAGAGAAATATTACTGGGAGGTAGATGTTGAGGGCACTGAGGAGTGGACGCTAGGTGTTTATGAGGAGCCCACGGACAGCAGTGGATCATGCGAAGGTCCACAAAAGAAATTCAGAGTCTTAGAGAAAAAGGGATGTGACTACAGGGCTCTGGAGTGTTGTCTCCAAGACATTTCTCTAGAAGAGCGTCTCCAGATAGAAAATCGTCCACAAAAGATTGTGATTTTCTTGGATCATGAGGATAGTGACATTTCTTTCTACAACATGACTGATGGTACCCACATCTTCTCCTTCACCCAGACCAACTTCTCTGGGTCACTATATCCTTACTTCCAACGGAAATCCATGGAGCTTTCCCCATCCGCTCAATATTAAGTGACTTAGAGGAAAAACCTATACCCTGAAGATAGTAGCCCCTTCCCTGTCAATGCTGCTAGCACTCCAGTCCTGATGGCAGGCCTCGAGCCCACTGATTTTGAGGCGTCTTGGCCTAAGGCCTTATATATCTGCATGACCAGTGCCTGATCCTCAAGCAGTGTTTCTTAACCTCCAGAGAAGAATCATTTCCTCGGTTATTGTTATAAATGTTGTTTCTTGATTCATATGTAATGTATCACAGATTGATAATTTTCTAAAATGAATTACTGCGAAATGAAGTGAATAAAAAATGACACACAATTACGAGTGGTAATTATTATTAGATTCAGCATACCTAAAACTATTCTGACAATTTGCTCTAAAAGTTTTATAATACTTTACATCTGTATTTCTTTCATAAACACCTGGTAAGAAACAGTTTATATAGAGGCACTTGCCTGTGCACCACATTTCAAGTAGCTTTGCTAACACAATAGTCAAAGGAATAAAGTTTTGGATGAACCTCCTCACATTTCTCGACACCAACACAATAAAAATGACAGAGTGTGCATTTTCAAATGTTAAAGGAGAAAAGTCATTTTATAACAATCTATATCTAAAGGATAATTTGAAGAAAGAAAACCAAATGTCAATACCAGTCTAATTCTAACAAATGTGATGATTTCAACGTGATGGCAGCTGGGGAGACCAGAGTGAAGTCAGAGCACACTGAGGTATTCATCTTATTGAAGGAGAGAGAGAAATTGCTTTGCGTAAGATATTAATAAGGAAAATGGCTACTTTATCCTCTTGGGAATTCTCGATGTGTCCACTGGCAGAGGTAAAGAAAAGTTCTCCCTCCAATCGCACTACCTGTTATGTGACCCAAATTGAGCTTCTGGGGAGAGAAACTACAATGTGTGAGGTGCAAATTACATTGGATGGGATTAATAGATAAGCCATTGCAAAAATAAATGATTAGTGAAAGTGAAGACATAGAAATGGAAACTGTCCAAAATAAACCACAAAGAATTTTTTAAAAATGGAACACACCCAACCCCCTCCCCCCAACCCGTGAGCATCCATCGGCATCCCAAACAATATAATTTGGTGGGAAAATGCAGCCACCTGGTGGACAAGCTGAGAATACATTGCCAACAGCTCCAATAAAATCATTTGTGAGATCATGCTGCCATCTTGTGGACAAGCGTCAGAAAGCATTGTCCGCATCCTTAATAATATCTTTTGGTGGGAAAATGCTGCCGCCTGGTGGACAAGAGCGAGAATGCATTGTCAGCAGCACCAATAAAATTTGGTGGAAAAATGCAGCCGCCTGGTGGACAAATGTGGGAATGCATTGCCTGCATACCCAATAACATCATTTGTGAGATCATGCTGCCATCTTGTGGACAAGCGTCAGAAAGCATTGCCCGCATCCTCAATAATATCTTTTGGTGGGAAGNGCGTCAGAAAGCATTGTCCGCATCCTTAATAATATCTTTTGGTGGGAAAATGCTGCCGCCTGGTGGACAAGAGCGAGAATGCATTGTCAGCAGCACCAATAAAATTTGGTGGAAAAATGCAGCCGCCTGGTGGACAAATGTGGGAATGCATTGCCTGCATACCCAATAACATCATTTGTGAGATCATGCTGCCATCTTGTGGACAAGCGTCAGAAAGCATTGCCTGCATCCTCAATAATACATTTGGTGGGAAANTGCTGCCATCTTGTGGACAAGCGTCAGAAAGCATTGCCCGCATCCTCAATAATATCTTTTGGTGGGAAGATGCTGCCCCCCGGTGGGCAAGAGTAAGAATGCATTATCAATAGCCCCAATAAAATCATTTGGTTGAAAAATGCTGTCATCTGGTGGAAAAATGTGAGATGCATTGCCAGCATCCCTGATATAATTGCTTGTGAGATCCTTCTGCAGTCTTGTGGATAAATATGAGAATGCAATGCGAGCAACCCCAATAAAATCCTTTTGTGGAAAATTCCTGCTACCTGGTGTACAAATGTGAAAATGCACTGACAGCCTCCCCAATAAAATCGCTTGTGAGATCATGCTGCCATCTTGTGGGAAATCTTCAGAAAGCATTGCCCGCATCCCCAATAAAATCATTTGGCGGAAAAATGCAACCACCTGTTGGACAAACATGGGAATGCATTGCCAGCATCCACAATAACACCGTATGTTAGAAAAAGTTGCCACCTGGTAAATAAAAGTGAGAATGCATTGCCAGCATCATGCTGCCATCTGATGTACAGGAGTGAGAACCAATTGCCAGCATTTCCAATAAATAAACTTGGGGGGAAAACGCTGTCAACTTGTGGAGAAACATGTGAATGCATTGCCAGCACCCCAAATAAAATCACCTGTTAGATCATGCAACAATCTGGTGGGAAAGCATGAGAATACGTCGCCAGGAGTCCCAATAAAATCATTTGGTGGGAAAATGCTGCCACCTCATGGACAATTGTGGGAGTGCATTGCCAGCATCCCCAATAAGATCAAAGAGCCAACAGATTTGGTGTCTGGTTAGAGCCAGTTTCCTGGTTTGGAGGTGACTGTCTTACTGTGTCCTCACATGGCTGAGGGGATAAGTCAGCTCTCTGACATGTCTTTTATAAGGATATTAATTCAATTTGTGAGGGTTCCATCCTCATGACTTAATCACTCCCCAAAGGTCCCACCCCCAAATTCCATCACATTGGGGATTAGGTTTTAACATATAGATTTTGGGGGCACACATTCAGTCTATAGCAAGGTCCAGTGAACTTAAAGCACAAAAATGAAGATGGCCATGGCACATAAAAATCCAATTTCTCAAAATCAAAGATTTTTAAGAAGCCAAAGTAAAAAACACACATATGAACAGAAGAACAACAGTAAGGATGAAAGCATATTTCACATAAACAATGCAAGCGAGAAAACAGTGGAGAAACATCTCAAAGTACTGAAAAACAAATTGTTAAAATAGGATTTAGTGCCCAGTGAAAATATTTTTCAAAAATAAAGGTGAGCCCAGCCAGGCATGGCTCAGCTNGTTAAAATAGGATTTAGTGCCCAGTGAAAATATTTTTCAAAAATAAAGGTGAGCCCAGCCAGGCAAGGCTCAGCTGTTGAGCATCGACCTAGGATCGAGGCGATCGGGGTTCGATTCCTGGTCAGGGCACATGCCCGGGTTGCGGGCTGCAGCTGATTAATGACTCTCATCATTGATGTTTCTATCTCTCGCTCTCCCCCTCCTTTCCTCTCTTTGAAATCAATAAAGATATATTTAAAAAAAAGGTGAAATAAAGATATTTTCATTTATTGGCGAACAGGGAAAAAATCAAAAATNCCTCCTTTCCTCTCTCTGAAATCAATAAAGATATATTAAAAAAAAAAAGGTGAAATAAAGATATTTTCACTTATAGGTGAACAGGAAAAAAATCAAAAACAAACATCACCAGAGACCCACACTACAAAAAATGCTAAATGCAGTATTTTAGGCAGAAGAAAAGTGGTAACTGATGGGAATTTGGATCTATACAAAGGATGAAGAGCACTGGAAATGAATTTTGTGTAGGTAATTGTAGAATGATTTCTTCTTATTGTTTAAAAATTCAAAAGATAACTGGATCCTTAAACAGAAACAATAACAAAGAAGTATGAGATTTATAACAGAGGAACCATTTAAGTGTATTCTAACAACAGCACAAAGGCCAGGAGGAAAGACATGAAAATGTATTGCTGTAAGTCTCTTATCCTGGACATGGAGTAATATAATGTCACTTGAAGTTAGAATATTATAAGTTAAACATAAATACTATAAACCCCAAGCAACCACGNCATTTAAGTGTATTCTAACAACAGCACAAAGGCCAGGAGGAAAGACATGAAAATGTACTGCTGTAAGTCTCTTATCCTGGACATGGAGTAATATGTCACTTGAAGTTAGAATATTATAAGTTAAACATAAATATTATAAACCCCAAGCAACCACTNTTGCTGTAAGTCTCTTATCCTGGACATGGAGTAATATAATGTCACTTGAAGTTAGAATATTATAAGTTAAACATAAATACTATAAACCCCAAGCAACCACGAAAATAGTAAAAAAATAATTATAGCTGTTAAAAAAAAAGATATAAAATAGAATCATAAAAAATATACAATTAGTCAAAACAAAGTCAGAAAATGAGGTAAAAGGTAACAAAGTACAGATGGGACAAACAGGTGATAAATAGATGATAGATGTGAGCCATATCAATAATTACAGTAAATGCAAATGCAAAGAGTGTTGGGGTGGTTAAGAAAAGAAATACCCATTTAAGGAAAGAAATATATGCTGCCCACAATAAATATACTTTAAATATAAAGGCACATATAGGTTAAAAGTAAAAAGATGAAAAAATATATATCACGCAAACATTAGTCAAAAGATAGCTAGAGTGGCTTTAGTAATGTCAGACAAGTAGATTATAGAAGAAAGGACATTTCCCAGGATAAAGGTAATTCTAATTATAAAGAGATCTATTTATCAAGAGGATATAATAATACTGTGACCTTGTGTTAAGCAAATGTTTCTCAATTACAACACTGAAAGCACATTCCATGAAATTTTTTAAAATTAATAGATTAAGGAGCTAGATGCCTAGATATCCTTGCCCACCACACACTTATTTCCATGTTGGCAGAATTCTGGAGTATGCTGTCCATAGAGAATAAACTGATCATTTTGGTTAGAGAAAAGACAGATGATAGGTTAGATAGAAACATAGTTTAATAAAATGCTAGTATGTCAAAAATTCCATAATCTAGACTTGTAACCTCCATGTAACAATTTGGAAGACTTTTTCTGGGGAATCTGATTTGCCTAAGAGAAAACACCTATAAAGGTAGCCAAAGGGTGGGGAGTAGTTCCTGTCAAGATGGTGACATAGGTAAATGTGATACTCAAATCCTCCCACAACACATCAAAATTACAACTAAATTACACAACCATCATTTAGAACCACCTGAAATCTAGCTGAATAGAAGTCCTACAACTAAGGATACAAAGAAGCAGCCACATTAAGACTAGTAGGAGCTAATATTCTCAACAATAAAGATTTTTTTTAAAAAGACTGGTAAGAGGGTGGAGAAGTGGAATGGGCTGGTCCTACACCCACGTGTGGCTGACAAAAATCAGGAGGCATATCTCAGCTGGAGATATTACCCCTGAGAAGTGAGGGGTCCCAGCACCCCACCAGGCCCCCAAGCCCAGTGTTCCAGTGCCAGAAAGAGAAGTCCCCACAACTTCTGGCTGTAAAAACCAGCAGGGATTATGGCTGA